CACCCAGCTCACAGGATATGGAGGCCCTGCGTGAGGCCTCATGGCCCCACAGCGCTGCACAGCAGCCATCTAAACCTGTGTGGTGTCCAGCGGCCCCGAGGACTGTGGCTTCTTCCATGGAGCCTTTGCCACTGTCTGGGCACATCCCTCCAAAATACACGACCCTGAAGGAGCCCAATGGCTGCCCGTCAGGCACTGCAGAGCCACCTTGCCACTGCTGCCGCTCCACCCTCCGTGACCAAGCGGGCAGTGCCAGGCCACAGCCGAACAGCCAGACCAAGACCCAGGGAGCCGTGTGCACCACCAGCGCTGCAGGGGCCACCATCGGCGTGCGCTGGAACAGAGTGTGCCGCAGGATCCGTGCTGTACATTCCCTCAATTGCGTCTTCCCGTTCCTCCCACAGTGGTTTTTGAATCACAGACCTCGTGTTATAAAAAATGCAGACTTGTTTTCCATTCCCCTGCCAGTTTCTATATTTTTTGGTTTTACAAGAACATTAAAAACTGGGAAGGAGATGTGAGGGCTGATTCTGCGTTGTGATTCAGGGCCAGAGGTGGGACCAGGAGAGCCTTAGAGGAGGGTGGTCAGAGCGGGTGTTCAGGGCTAGGGGGCCACACTGGGAAACAGCTTCAGGCCCTGGGTTCTGACCACAGGGATTGGGAACCAGTGCCCCCGCCCGCCATGCGCTATGAGTCGCTTACAGGACACCAGCGTTGTCCCAGGAACGCTGTGCAGTGAGGTAGGCCTATCCCCGATGGAGGTGGGCAAACTGAGGCTGGTGGGAGGGTGTGGCAACGTTATCCCGGGCCCCACAGTCAGACCACAGTTGGGACTCAGCTCCATCTGACCTGGCCCCTGCCTGCTACAGATGATCCTCTGCAGGTGGGAGAACGAGCTTCAAATTAGCACTGGGTCTTCTGCAACAGAGGGAACACCCTGGGAGGCCGGGCACGCCTGCGGGGAGGTGAAGCCAAAACAGCTCACAAGCAGGGGCAAAGGCTGGATCCCTAGCAGAGTAGACCCGGATGCACAGCAGCTTCTTGTCTCAGAGCCCTTGATGCCCACCTGGCAGGACGAGGCTCGTGTGCGTCTGATTGCACCCAACTCCCCGTCTGTATCACCTCCAGCAATCCAGCATGAGGACAGGCCCATGCTCCAGGCCCTGGGCAGGTGGACCTGGATGGTGGCCAGCATCTCACATGTATCAACACTGATCACTGCTACAAAGATCCAGGAAGGTCCTGCCCTCATCCACCTCTTGGAGTGGACCATGGCAAGGCACGGTCACGTTTTACACCCTTCCCTGGTTCCAGAAACAGCTGGGAGACGGTCTTCTTGTCCCTTGTAGGGTGAGGAGTGGCAGCCAGCATTCACATCCCTCACCAAAGGGAGCCTTATGTTTAACACACGCTGACTTAGGCAGGCAAAAGTGAAAGCCCAGTACCCTATCGATAAAGGAAAGGGTCTCTTATAGAAGACCCTCGGTCTCCTTTTAGAGAGGGAGACGGAGGGTCAGCGTGAACACCACTGCCACGTGCGACAGAAGCCCAGTGATTGCGTGCCTGAGTCCTCCCCCTATCGCGCTGCCACTAGACGCAGTGGTGCCATGGCTGGGGCTGTGGGCTTCCCGGGGACCTGACTCTCCGCTCCCAGGAGCTGGCTGATGAGGGTTGTCACTTGCACCCATGCCCTACCTGCCCCTTTCAGACGGTGCATCTGGCCTGTCTCTGGTCCCAGGGCCAACCACGGTGGATGCATTTGGGCTAGGCTCCCCTGGCTCACGGGCTGGCTCCGCCAGTGAGGAGCCAGCATGGGAGGGAGATGGGAGGAAGGGGTCCCTGGGTGGTGTTGTGTCTCCACTGGAAGGTCTCAGTCCCGGTCCAAGTGGCCCTTTCCCACAGCCCCTCAGGCTGGGAGCAGCTTCCCCTCTCCCTCGCTCAAGCGTGGAGGGAGTGGGGGAATCATCGAACACCCTGGCCCACACCGCAGGGCATGACCCTCAGGAAACTCTGACGACCCTGAGCTGAAAAGGACCATCTTCCTGCCAACCTGGTATTAATCTAATCCTAACAGTGCACAGGACGAGGAGGTCGCGGCCCAGCGCAAGTGGACTCCACGCTGTAACCCAGGGGCAATTATTGAAGAGGCAAGGAACAACAACTCGAACAATGATAAGTGGATCAGGTCAGAGAGATTCAAGGACCAGCAACCTGGACAACATGGGTGGAATCCTGTCTTACTGTGATACAAAAAATTAGTCCGGGCGTGGTGTGGTGGCGAGGGCAGCACTGTAATCACCAGCTACTTGAGGCGAGAGTCACTTGACTCAGGAGGTAGAGGCTGGCAGTGGAGCTGAGACGCGGCCACGCTGCACTCCAGACCTGGTGACAGACTGGGGACTACTGTCTCAAAAAAAAAAAAAAAAAAAGGGAAAGAAGAAGGAAGGAAAGGAGGGAGGGAGGGAGGGGCCCGAGGGGAGGAGGGAGGCCGCGACGAGGGAGGCAGGGGAGGGAAAGAAAACTGAGGGGAAGTTTCTGATCCCTCACAGAAGAGGGAGGCTTGTGACACAGGCCCCTGAGTGTGATCAGAACTGTTCAAAAACAGGCATCCGGGCTCCAGAGCCTCCAACTTCACCCTTCACCACTTGTCCTGCTCCCTTTGCGATCTGGCGGACTGCTGCTCACCCGCTTCTCAGGCTGCCTCCAGGTGGCCCAGTCCAAGCCCCAGCAGGGCAGGGGACCCCACCCACGTTCACACCAGGGCACATCAGGCTGGCTGCCTGCCACCCAGGGACCCCTTCGCCCCCTCACTCACCCCCCACTGATTTTCTGGAGACTAATTAGCGCTGAGGCAAAACCCCTTGAACAGGGAGCGGAGGAATCAATACTGCATGTCACTGTGAGCGCATTTAATCCACTCCAAGATAAGCGGTGAACGCCTCGCCGATGAGAACTTATTGTCTGTTATAATGAAAGGGGCTGAGCCGCCAAGCGGGGGAACCACACAGAGGAGCTGGCAGTTGGATCCCCAATTTAATTCAGAGAAGCAGGAGAGGGAAAAAAGGAGACAAAAGGCAGAGAGAACAAGAGGCCTAGACGGAGGAGAGACGAGTAGGGGAGGGAAGGCACAGAGGGCTCGGGAGTGGGTCTGCCGTGCAGGTACAGTGAACGGGGGGGG